TATCAGTCTCCCCAAAATATTTATTACAAAATCTTGCAACTCTCAAGAATATCATTTTATGTGCAAAAAATATTCATTACTTTTTCTCCACTTCGGGAAAAGGTAACAATTGAATGCCAAACTTAAAAGCAAGCAAAGCTGTCCTAAAGCCCCAATTTGAGACTCACAAGCACCTGATGTCCTGTGTCTTTTGGCACTATTTGGCAATATAGTTTCTGGCCCAGTCCACACTGACCTAATCCTGACAGCTGGTACTTCATTAGAAGGTATAAATCAGAAATTCAACCCTTCTCTCACCCCACACCAGTAAATGATGAATTCTTGAGAAGGGGGAGATATTCTAAGATTGACATACTTTCCTGAAACTTCCTTCTTCTAAGTAACCAAGGGAGGATATGAAAGGAAATACTCCCCCTTCTTGGTATGGCCCCGGACACAGTGTTCCTCATGCTTATCCTCTAAACACATTGCAAAACACATTATGGAAACCCAGCTCACACACTGCACTCATAGTGTGTAATAAGCTTTTCTTAAAAAGAACCAAAAGGGAACTTAAAATGCCATTCATTTTATTAGAGAAAAGCAACATTCCTTTTTTTTTTTTTTTTCCTTTAACCTTCTGTGACATCTCTTACATCCTATTTGGTTAAAGTGTTTTAGTCGCTTATCAAGGAAATCTGAAAAGCAGGCTATTTCGGGAGTCTGAATTTGGCCTCAGCATTTACTTGCTATTTGTCATGTTATTAATATTTCCTATAAACATGGACTCTCAACCAGATTGGGCATCATCACTGCTTGTGGAACTTTAAAAAATTTTAGATGCCAGAATCTTGTTTGAGTCAAAAATTGCACATCTAGATTAACCCAAAGAAACAATCATTTACGCTGTGAGATTCCACACTCTTAGTCCAACAATCATCCCCAATGTGTTGGTCAGTAGATAAAACTCACACAAAAGTACTTTGAAAAGACCCCTCTCATGATTATGGGGCATATCCCATCAGTAAGACCCCCTATATATAACTTAACAGTGGTCCATGGAAATCACTTAGAAGATCAATAAAAAATCATTGCCATTAATTGAAGAAATTTTTTTTTGTAAGTCAATGACAAAAAAAAAACAAACCAAAAAACCTCAAAGTAACAGATTCTTTTCCTTCTTCCTTTCCTGCTCTGCAAACTTCCAAATCTGGATCAGTCCTACAGTTCTATTTTTTCTTTGTCACAGCTTAGATTGCTGAGGAGTGTTGAAAAACCACAGTGTTGGAGATTGGTCCTGGAACCAATCAGATTCATGCTTTCTACTCTTCCCTATACCCCAAGCATCACTCATCCACTTCTCCTTGTCCCTGACCCACTTCACTTCCTTCCCATTTCTGTTAAACATTCTCTCTCTCCTGTTCATCCTCATTGTCTCAGCAGGTATCTTTGCTTTCTATTTCACAAAAATATTGAGACATTATTAGATGTAAATATTTCTTTGCATCAATCCACTTCAGTCACATTCCACAAGAGTGAATAACAGGGGAGCTTTAAAAATTATTACTGCCTGCTCCATGCTCCCAATTATGCTTTACTTATCTGGGGTGCAATCTAGGAGTCAAACCTTATAAAGCCCCTTAGATGATTCTACTGTGCAGTCAAGGGTGAGCATTGCAGTTTCTAATTGGGGAATATAAATCAGAATTATTCAATGTGGTTTTCTATTTTAAAAAATACATATGCCCAAGCCTCATCCCCAGAGATCCTGTTTCTGTATATCTAGGAGACTGTGCTTGGCACTGATACTGATATTTTTAAAACTCTCTATTAAATGCTTTCAAAATGTTAAGAATACCAATACAATAGAGGCAGGGGTCTAAACATGCTTTACCTGAAAAGTAAATAAATATAATGATAAATTAGGGCATTATTTAGAGAGATCCATTTGATTGATTTACATATATATATATATATATATTTAAAAAAAAAACTCTTAAAACCTTGCATATACTCTGAGCCAGAAATTGCACATGTAGAAATTTCACAAATTTATGTTGTGAAATCTGGCAGCACTTGACCCAAGTCTTTGGGTGTTAAAGAGACTACACAGAAGTATCTGGACTAGGGCCACTGAGAGCAGATTTATTTGAAAATCTTACACTGTCAACATCACACCTGGCACCTCTTATTGATGTGACAGTGGAAACCACCTCCACTGGAGAGCTCTGTTGTTTTCCACTCAGATAGCCTGCTGACCTCACCTCTAGCAAGTAGATTCTGACTATGCAGATCTGCCTAATGGAGACAAGCTATCTTGCCACACTGTTTGTACAATCTCCTAGTCCTCCCTCTGTATCTGTCTGCATGTGTATCCAGTCCATAACAGTCCCTTCTGGCAAGCATTGTCGCTGAGAAGTCTGGGCATGTGCAGATGCTTAGGGTCTTCTGAGGACACTCTCTGTGGTCATCATCCTGACATGCAGCTGTCTTCCAGAAGCAGTTGATTCTCTGTGTCTCAGTCTCTGCTTGGTCAGTCACCTTGCAGAGTAGCTTGATTCCCATATACAACAAGGAGTCCCTAAACAGAGGCCACCTGCACCATTCAAACACCTGTGCTCTAACCTGGCTTGTCTCCCCTGCCCAACTCAAACACACATCACTTTATGCATTCTAATCACATCCTTGCCATTCACGTTTCAAGCATTTTCACTTCTGAACAAGTCCTAACAGTAGTATTTACAGTAGTTGAAAACTAGGGGGGGAAAAAACCTAGTAGTCCAGCAAAAGGAGTTAGTTAATTAATTATGGTTCATTAATGTAGTAGTGTTTGACCAATAAAAATAATATAGCAGAAGATACAATAACAAGAACGAGACCCATAATAATACTCATAAAGAGAAAAGAAGTTACAAAGTAAGCTTTCTATTTTTTTTTTAATCCAGGTATCAGTACTTTTTATGTATTTTTAAATGTTGTATATATTTTTATTTTTTTAATTGAGATGTCACTGGTTTACAACCTTGTATATGACTTAAGAGGTTTAAGATCACTCCTTCAAGTACACTTTGTTAACTGAAGAATGCTTACCAAGATGTTATTAGCTATAAATCTCCAGTGTGTAGTATCACAGCTGATTAACATTCTCTTCTTTTTTGCTTATGTCTATTTAATAACCTTTTGAAGTGAATATATTATTTTAGAAAAATAATATAAACTACATTTGCAAGGTTTCCCAGTCTTTGATATCTGTGTACCAGATGACAGTCCTATGTAAGGCTCACTTTACATGAAATTTTATACTTAGATATTATGACCTGGTAATTGCTTGAGGCAATCTTGCAGGTATTTCAAATGGTAACTGGAAATTAGCAGAAAGAATTCCTTTGTCCAGTGAAGACTGCTTTAAGCATAAGCATATTTCATACATAGAATATCTTAAAAGAAAAGTTACACAAAAGTTAAGGTTTTGGAGACTGGAATTAAAATGGTTAGGGTCATGCAAGAGTGTCCATAAATCCAAGCACTGGATTATTTTAGTTTCAGTTAGAATAAAATCAAAACTGCTACAAGATGACAGATGTGGATGTGTTTAAAGATAGCTGGATAAAAAGTACAAACAGAATAGATTTCCTTTCCCAACATTTTCAAAAAGGAACCAAATTATTCTAAACCTTGTTCATCACTTACCCTTTCCCTACAACTTCATGCAAGAAGCCATATTTGTAGCATATGTGCTTTTGTTCAAAATTATGTATTACAATTTATAAGTTTGTGAATGTATGTGTTAATACAAATTCCAGAAGATAAGTGAGAATACCCCAAGGATTCAAAGAGGACTTTCACTAAAAACTTGGACAGAAAGTTCACATAAATGCAGAAAATACAGAATCCTTAAGAACAGCCCAATTTCAGAACAGCTTATGTCTGTAAGTTTGGAGAAGTAGCAAATGCCCTGGATATTCCCAAATCTCTGCAGTTTAAGACAAATACACTCAGTTCTGGAGTGGAGAGGCACTGTGAGAGACTTCCCTCAACAGATGACTGCTGGCTGCCAATTTATCTGCCTTCACCAACCGGCTAAACATAACAGTCCATAGTCTCGTACCCAATGGCAAAGAGCAAATATGGAATTCAGATTCTCAGATTTCCTGGTGGCTTCCAGTTCAGCTTTGCTTTTCAATTTGAGGATCAAGAATAATTGGAAGACAGTGCTCATCACCCATAAATGATTCTCTGCTGTTTTCCTTCCAAGCTGTAGTAGTCATCCTTATTACACTTAAGTTCACTTCCGTGACTCACTCCAGTTACTTACCCACACACCAGGAACTGATTAAACAAAACCCTATTTCCAAAGCAAAATTTTATCCACACAAAAACTAGCATGCAAATATTGTGAATTAAACACAGATATTATCTGTTGAAATTAAATAGAGTTGAGGGAATATATGGTTAACCAAATAAAATAGTCAACTAACAAAGTACTTTTATTTTTAAGGCCAACTTACATTTAGTTTCAACTGAGGCTATTTTGTGCCTTTGGAAGACTGTAGCATATCTTGGTTTTATTAATGTGATCTTTAGGTTTTTTTTACACAATTGAAAACAACATAACCTAGGATGTAACTGCATTAATCATACTAATTCCTGTACCAAACATATCCAAATTAAATGCTTTATTTATTCATCAAAACTTAAGGTTTTAAGAGAACTCCTAAAAATACAAATCTATAATAATTTACCTATATAATGTTCTTGCTAGAGAAAATATTATGGTTTTTAGTATTAAATATTTGGTAACTATTCATTTATCAGTACTATAAAGATGCAAATAAGAATAAATGTCAAGTTCTCAATGTAGGTTTAACGATACTTATATTTAGGTATCTTCATTTGTAATATTCTATCTGTAATATTCACTCTAAGAAAAAGCATCATTAAACATGTCAACAAATAACAGGATGAGGCAGATGAATAATATGTCAACTTTTTAAAATATTTATATTTAAATTAATACTTACTCTTTTGCCTCCCTCTAAGAGGATAAATCCTGAGTTTTTCAATGATGTCAACCACAATTAAGGAAGTCAGAACCAAAGAGACTGGCAGGTCAGGTAAGTTATCAGGGAGAGCAGCAGATATGGTACCAGTAGTATTTTTTTGAACCTGTTTTCAGAAAACCATTTAGAAACGTTCAATTATTTCATTAGTCTAAAAGCAGTGCTAAATTAATTATAAATACTTTTGTTAAAAGAAAGAAAGCTTGGTTATTTGTTTCTCAAACTCCACAAGGTTTTTTGGGTTTTTTTTTAAAGATTTATTTATTTATGCATACAAGAACTGGGGTACAGGCCAGAGGTGTGGGGTAGGAGAGAGAGGATTCACTGGTGACAGAGTGGGGAACAGAACAGGCTGACTGACTGAAATACACTGCTGAGGGGAGCAGAGGGTGAGTCAGGAGAGGTCTGATGCGCCATGTGGGTAGCTCCCTGGCTGGCCGGGATTGAACTTGTGCTGCAGAGGCTGCGGATTGCTTCATAGATTGTGTCTTAATCCCTTGCACCACCAGGGAGAGCCCCCACAAGGTTGTGAACCATTTTAAAGATATATTAAAACTAGAAGAGCTTTCAGTTAAAGACTGAGCTTGGTAAGTGCACACTAAAAATGTAATCGGATCCTAGTAATGGTGGAACAGATAATTTCCTGCAATTCTACTGCTAAACAGAGACTCTGAGAATCCTAGTTCTTCTAACTAGGCACACACATATTGGAGCTTAAGGTCTTCCAAGAAGAGAAATCACAGATAAGCCCTGATAGTTTTGGGGGCACTTCCTTCATCTGACTAAGGTATCAACAGAAAAACCTATGGCAAGTATCATGTAAATGGTGACATGTTGAGAATTTTTCTTCTGATACCAACAATAAAACAAAGAAGACACCATGACCTTTCTAGTCAACATTTTACTAAAGCTTGTAGTTAGTGTAACAAGAGAAAGAAGGAAATAGCATAAAGGGAAGAAAGAAAAACAAAATATTTTTCATACACGATATGAAAATTCTCCCCAAATGTATAAACTATGCATACCAACAACAAAGATTTAGAAAATAAATGTTTTTTAGTGATACCATTCAGTACAACTTTAATCAAAACTTCACCATTTTGCAGAAAATAGCCAGCTGATTCTAAAATTCATGTAGAAATACTAAGGGAAAGACACTCTAGAAGGAAAAAAATCATAGGAAAATTTATTCTTCTGTGTATAACAAGCTATTATAAAACTAACAGAATTACAGCAATGTGGTATTAGTACAGGATTACAAAAGTAGGCAAAATGACATAATAGAAGGCTCAGTAATAGACCAAGTACATACACATCTGATTTATAACAAAAGTAGCACTGCAGAGAAATGTGGGAAAGACAGACATTTTCATTAATTGTGTATAATCCACAGGGTACCACTTGGAAAAAAATAATAAAACTTCACCTCTTACTGCTCAACATATACTAAAATCAGTTCCAGATGGATTGTGAATGTAGAAGAGAGTGGGAGAACAATATGCCCTCCAAAATATAATATAGGAGAATATCGTTAGGAATTGGAGGATCAGTTTCATAATATGAAAAAAATCTTCCCAAACAAGTTACCAAAAGCAATATCCACAAAGGAAATAAACTGATAAATTGGAGAGTTTTTTTTTTTTTAAAGATTTATTTATATAAGCACTGGGTATAGTTAGAAGTGCGGGAGGGTGAGAGAATTCACCAGAGTCAGAGCAGGGAACAGAACAGGCAGACTGATGAAGTACACTGCTGAAGGGAGCAGTGGGCGCAGCAGGAGAGGTCTGCGCGCCACGTGGGACCCTCGCCGGCGGCCAGGGATGGAACCAGTGCTGCAGAGGCTGCAGGCAGCTTCATAGTCCAGCGCTCAATTGCTGTGCCACCGGGGAGGTCCAAATTGGAGAATTTTTAATGTAAGAACTTCTCTTCCTCAAAAGCTAGCAAGCTTATTAAGTCACAGAGTGTGATGATCTACACAATACACACAATCAACAAAAGACTTTAAATCTAAACATACAAATAGCTCTTCTTAATCAATTTTCAAAAGATAAATAAGACAATAGGAAAAAAAGACAAGATAGAAAAAAAGTCAACCTCATTAATTATTGGGGAAATTCAATTTAAAAACAATGAGATTCAAGAATATATCTACCAGAATGGCTAAAATAAAAAGACTTATAATGCAAGTGCTGGTAAAGAGGTGGAACAACGGGCATACACATTCTCTGCTAGCTGAAGTCTAAATTAATGCAATCTCATCAGAAAACTGGCATTTTCTGTAATAGTTGAGCATATGAATATCATATGACCCATGTGTTCTACACCTATATGTTTAACCAATTGAAATCCTTACACATGCTCACCAAGAGACATATCCAAGGATGTTTAAAGCAGCAATACTTTTAATAGTCAAAATTAAAACCTGATATGGCCATTAAGAGTAGAAACGAGGGCCTCCCTGGTGGCCTAGGTGTTAAGTGTCAGCATTATCACTGCCATGGCCTGAGTTGGATCCCCAGCCAGGGAGCTAACCCACAAGGCACAGCAGACATCTCCTGTCTCGATGGCTGTTCCGCTTAGTAGTGTATTTCAGTAGACTGCCTGTTCTGCTCCCCACTCTGTCTCTGGTGAATCCTCTCACCTCACCCTAGCCTCCTGCACCTCTGGCCTACACCCTAGATCTTCTACACCAAAAAAAAAAAAAAAAAAAGAGTAGAAATGATAAGTTGTGACATGGTCGCAAGACAAAATACTCTACAGGAATGAAAATGAACTACAATTATACATAGAAATATGAGTGTACCATAGTTTTGAATAAAAGAAGCCAAACTAGATAGCTTGTTAGCTAGCACAGTAAGGATAGTGATACATAATTTCTCTTTAAAAGAGGCTTTTAGAAAAAGAGGCTTTTTTTTTTTTTTTTAAGAAAGAGGCTTTTAGAGGCTTTAGAAAGCTAGCGAAGTTTTAATTTTTGACCAGAGTAGTGTTTACACAAGGATTTTCTTTGTGTCATTCCATTAATAATATACATTTATTTTTGGTGCCCTTTACTATTTGTGTATTATATTTCAAGAAAAATTAAGAAAATAAGGGGTAAATATGCAACAATGGGTAAGACATACAAGGAAGTAACAGAAAAAGGAGGTCAATCTACAGATATACCATCATTTTATAATAATTGCTCCTTAAAAGATTGTAAACTGAGCTTTTAAAACTGGGAAAAATCCCATGTACTCTCAAAGGTCACTGGGGAAGGGAGAGGAAAAGTGATAAATCCAGATGAAATATTCATGGGCTTCAGTTCCATACAAACTATCAGGTGTCATCTTCCTACATTAGTCTATGCCTTCACACATTGTCCAAATGTAGCATGTTGGAAATATTCTCACAATCATGTAATATCATACACTACCCACTACTCACCTCTCTCACAACACTTAACATATGTATTCTAATTGCCTGGTTATTTTTTCTCCCTACTATCAATGGTTACTGAAGGCCAGAGATTCTGTCAAAAATCCTGAGTGCTATACCCCAGTACTTAACATAGTACCTGACATTGTAATATGTATTTAATGAACATCTATGCAATATAGACATGAACTATCATAAAGTAATTTAATTTATGCACTTTGTGGTGATAAAATTATATTTTTCACAGAACCTTGAAAATTAAAAAGATTAGTAAGATATTCTTTGAACTTTGATAATAAAGTTCTCACAGCCTGAAAGTTCTGTCTATAATTCTCTCCTGCACACACCTACCAGAGTCTTTTTGAGGCAACATTCAGTCAAAACATAAACTAAAAGTTATTTTGATATAAATATTATGTGCAAATTATGTATGAATGGATATATTATCAAAGGTCTTAGAGTAGGAGGGGGTTGTTTCCCTGCATATATTTCTATTTCATATAGAACTGAATGCACTTATAAAAAGTAGACTTTCAATTCCTTTGTTTTTTTCTTATTCTGTTGAAAAAAATTCTGTCACACACACACAGAAGCAATTTTTTTTAATTGACTGCGAAACCTTCCTCCATAATTTCAGAGTAAGTTAGTATTTTAAATACATAGCAACTTAAAAGAAGACTGAATAAAACAAACGTTAAGACATTTGTTGGGCACATCCTTTGTCAAATCCTTATAATGGGAAATTTTAAAATCACAAAAACTTGCAACAGAAGAAATCAAAATTCATACCTCAGTCATTGCTACAGAAAAGCTGAAGCTTGGAAGGGTGGTGAGTACTACACACATCATCATAACAGGTCTCCTAGCAAGGAGAAAAAAAAAATAAGCAAAAGCAATAATGTACAAGATCAACAGTTCCTGCTGCATTTTGCTAATTTTGCAGTTCCTATTCCATTCATATATAGTTTTTCTAAGAAGCTACTGGTTCCCTATTTCTATTTCCCAAATGTATGGCAAAGGGTAGCACATGCAAAAACCAGAATGCTTTTCTGGAACAAAGGGATGAGAAATTTTCAAATAATTAGGCAAACAAAGACTACTGCAAAAATCCCAGTATAATGGCATGCAGCATTTTCATAATTTATGAATTGGAATCCTGCTCACTTTGGAATCTCATGATCACCTGGAAAAAAAGAAAACAACCAGAATTGTTCTCTCAAGTTATACTATAACCCATGTTATAAAATTGATTTTTCACAACTAAAAATCCAAGGACAGTATTGGACTTTTAATGGTGAACTTAATGTAGCATATACAAATGTTGATTCTCAATGCTGCACACCTGAAACTTATGTTGTAATGCAATGCTATTACAATAAGAAAAACAAATAAAAATTCATTTTTCAAAGAATATATTTAGAGATAATATATTATTACTTTAAAATGAAGAACCTGGGGCCTCCCCTGGTGGCGCAGCGGTTGAGCGCTGGGCTGCGAAGCTGCCCGCAGCCTCTGCAGCACTGTTCGATCCCCAGCAGCTAGCGAGGGTCTCACATGGCCTGGTGGCAGACCTCTCCGGCTGTGCCGCTGCTCCCCTCAGCAGTGTATTTCATCAGTGTGCCTGTTCTGTTTCCCGCTCTGCCTCTGGTGAATTCTCTCACTCTCCCACGCTTCTGACTGTACCCAGTGCTTGTATAAATAAATAAATAAATCTTCTAAAAATAAATAAATAAAATGAAAAGCCTGGAAATTTTTTTTGTTGTTGTTGTTAAGATTTATTTATTTATTTATACAAGCACTGGGTACAGTCAGAAGCAGGGGAGGGTGAGAGAATTCGCCAGAGCGGGGAACAGAATAGACAGACTGATGAAATACACTGCTGAGGGGAGCAGCAGGCGCGGCAGGAGAGGTCTGTGCACCATGTGGGACCCTCCCCAGTGGCCGGGGATCGAACCGGCGCTGCAGAGCCTGTGGGAAGCTTTGCACCCAACGTTCAACCGCTGTGCCACCAGGAGAGGCCCTGTAAATGTTTTACTCAATGAAAAAAATCATATAAAAATCAATCAAATACTTATTGAGATGTAATATGTACATGATATTATGACAGAAAGATTTGAACACATATTTATTTTATTTTTTTAAAGATTTATTCATTTATGCATACAAGAACTGGGGTACAGGCCAGAGGTGATGGGGGTGAGAGGATTCACCAGAGACAGAGTGGGGAACAGAACAGGCAATTAACTGAAATACACTGCTGAGGAGAGCAGCAGGCGAGTCAGGAGAGGTCTGCTGTGCAATGTGGGCAGCTCCCTGGCCATCTGGGGATGAAACTCTTGCCATGCTGCAGTGCTGCAGATAGCTTCATAATGCTGCAACTTCACCCCTTGTGCCACCAGGGAGGCCCCATGAACACATATTTAACACCATTAATTTACTGGGAGGCAAAATACCCAGAGAGGTCTTTGACAATGACTCATTTACTCTTTTTTAAATAAAACATACATTACATTAATTACATTTACATGATACTATGTTTCTAAGCACAAATATTAGTGTCTTTCCTATAAGTAGTTTTCTATAAGTGTCTTTCCTATAAGTAGTTTTCTCTTTTTTTTTAAAGACTTTTTAAGATTTATTTTTATTTATAAAAGAACTGGGGCACAGGTCAGAGGCACAGGTGGGTGAGAGAATTCACCAGAGACAAAGCAGGGAGCAGAACAGGCAGAAGACCAAAGACACTGCTGAGGGGAGCAGTGGGTGAGACAGGAGAGGTCTGCCATACCATGTGGGTATCTCCCTGGCCGGCCACGAATTAAACCAGCACTGCAGAGGCTGTGGGCAGCTTCACAGTGCAGCGCTCAACTCACTGCACCACCAGAGAGGCCCCGACTAGTTTTCTCTTTGGTGCTGCAATGCCTCCCTCCATCCTACCCTGTCTTAAATGGTCTCAGATATAAACATAAGCTAGGAGGCAAGAGACCACCTTTCATGGCCAAAGTCAGTTGGATCTGGCAAAACCAGAGGTAAGATGGGATTTTAAATTGGTAGCTTTGCCTCCTTTTCTAAGCCTAGATCCAGTACCTGGCAGTACTCAACTCTCCAAGACTGGCTAGAGCTTTCTCCACTTGGTCTCTAAAAGATGAGAGTGCCCCAGGGATTGCTTCTATGCCTCTTCTTTACATTATCTCCCTCTATTATTCTGGCCAGTAGCATGATTTTAAATACCAACTGTCTGTCTAACACCTGCACTTGGATGTCTAATAAGCAAAAAGACAACTTATGCCTCCTGCAAAGAATCAACAACATCAACATCATCATCAAATCCTGACTAACTGCCAAAATACCACCTCTGCTAACTCTTTGTACTTGATCCAGTATCATCGCTCACCTGCAAAGTTTCCTAATTGGCTTCCTGTTAGAGATGCTTCTATTCTCACCTAGCAACAATTTCTCCATAGAACAGTTTTTGTTTTTGTTTTTATTTTTAAAGTTAAGTCACATCTTATCACTGCCTGCTCAAAAATCTCCAGTGGGGTATGGTTATTGTTTAATGGGTAAAGATTTAAAAATGATTAGAATGATAAATTTTATGTGTATTATACCACAAAACACACAGATTTGTGTGTTTTATAGATTTTTTTTCAAATCTCCAATGAATATATTTGGAGATTTACAAGTTTCACATAAAAGATTCTAAGAAAATTTCCAATATATGAGCAATGTTATTAGAATAAGATTGAAACCTATTACACTTTCCTACATGATCTACATGATCTGTTTTCTCTGTTTTCTCCCACTCTCCTCCTTACTTGGGTGTAAAAATGTCCTCTGCTTTCACACAACTCCAGCTTTCTGGTTATTTCTGGTTTTCTGATGATGACACCAAACATGCCCCATCTTACAGTTGTACAATGACTACTCCTTTTGCCTGGTATTCTCTACTTCTAGGTTGTCATCTCCTTCCCCTGACTTGGTCATCCATAATCACATTCTAATATATCTCTGGATGGATGGATGAATGGATGGATGGATGGATGGATGGACAAACACATAAATAGGTACGTAGAGAGGTAGACAGGTAGGTAGGTAGGTGGAGGATGGATAGATAGATAGATAGATAGATAGATAGATAGATAGATGCAGCCCTTATGACTATACAAAATTCTTCTGATCATTTCTTTACTTGCTGTTTATTACACCACTCTTTGCAGGTACATAAGCTAAGTCATTCACTGTTTTATCTCCAGCATTGAGATCATCTTTTTTCTGAAATGGACCTTCTGAGAATGCAGTAAATTCTATGGAGCCTTCTCAGAATATTTAAATACATACAACAAAATACATAGATTTACAAAAGGAGGCAATTACATTCATTTTAAATGTTGTACTAATAATATATTTGTCTACTTATAAAAACATGCTCGTCTTATTTTCTTTGGATTACTCAAGATCTAATAGAAACTATAATCACTCATGGTCTCACAGTAGGGAAGATTTACAAACCATTTCCTGAATTATCTATAAGAATTACAGTGTGATATGGAACAAACTATGTTAAAAATGTCCAGGTCCTGATAATACTATTGTGGTTTCTTACAAACATTAATAATGGAATGAAATACTAGCTTTTCTTAATAATAAAGAAAATAGGATGTAATTTGTTTCTTATTCAAGTTCAAGAATCTCATAATGCTAGAAAATGTCCAGCAGATTTGGAATTTTGTATATACTAAATGAATAATGAAGCAGTTAAAAAAAACTGAGTATTAATCCAAATCTGTTTATTTAACCAGATAAAATAACCTGTACTTGAAAATGTTGACTTACTGCTAGCATACACTTATAATTTACTAATGGATGCTATGAATTGATTTATATGCTCCAAAAAGGATATGTTGAATTCCCAACTCCCAGCACCACAGAATTTAACATAATTTAGAAATCTGGTCTCTCCACAGGGAGTATCTTCAAATTACATCATTAGAATGGGTCCTGATCTAACAAAACTAGTATCCTTATAAAATTGGAAAATTTGGAGAAAGATACATACTGAGGAAAGTTTACATGAAGAAACACAGGAAAATACCATGTGGAAATGACAGAGAACAGGGTGACACATCTTTAAGTCAAGGAATGCCAGAAAGTGTCAACAACCCATCAGAAGGTCGGGAAGAAACATGGAACAAATTTTCCCTGGCTGCCCTCAGAGGAACCAACCTTGCTAACGCTAACCTAGAACTAGAACTTCTAGTTCTTGACCTAGAACTTCTAGCTTCCAGAATTGTGATACAACATTCTTATTCAAATTTCTGTGTCTAAGTCACCCAGGTGGAATATTTTGTTATGATAATCCTAGGAAAGTGAAACAGATTTCATTACCTGAAAGTGGGAACAAGTAACTAAAAGTGTGGAAATGGTTTTGGAATTGGGTAATGGATACGTTCTGAAAGAGTTTGAAATGCATAAAAGAAAAAAGCAAAGTTGCCTAGAAAATACTGGTGGTAACAATATTAACACTAAAGGAAATCCTGGCGGAGAAAGTCTGTCCTATCAGAGAATACATAGATTGATAGAACAAAATGCTAAAGAGTTCCTAGTGAGATCTTAGATAGAAATGAGGTCTTGGACAGACAGACAAAAATGGAAACTGGAGAAAAGAATCCCATTGTAAACTGGCAGAAAAATTGATTGTGTTCTATTGAGCAGAATGTAAAATTTGTAAGTGATGAACTCGGAGGTCGAGCTGAGGAGATTTTTAAGCAAAGCATTGAAGGTACTGCCTGGTTTCTCCTTGCTGATTGAAATGTGAGAGGAAAAAGACAAATTAAAGAATGAATGATTAAACAACAAGGAACCAAA